AAGAGAATTTAACCTTTTTTAAAAAAATTGATACATTGTAATGATACGTGTATTGCAGGAATTTGCACCTGTACATAATAAGTCTTGCTTTTTTTTTTTCCCCATTCCCCTGCTCTCCCTTCAGCCTCTCTTTCTATCCTTCTTTACCAAAGCTTTGCTTTCATTTTTTCTATTTTTTCCTTGTCCCTTTCTTCCCTTCTCCTTCCTTCCTCCTTAGTTCCCCTTCTCATTTGAACGTTTTCTTCCTGTTTCATGATATTTATTATACATTTTGGTCCTTATTTATACTTTGGTATTTCACACCAGAGGAACAATGTGGTATTTACATGTATCTGATTTATTTCATTTAAAAGCATGGTCTCAAGATGAATTCCTTTAGTTAGAAATGTCTTAAGCTTATCCTTCTCTGTGGCAGAGTTGTATTCCATTGTATTTAAGAAAAGAACATCTTTTACATATTCATAGGTTGATGAGCATTTGAGCTGTTCTGTTTTCAAACTGCCACTTTATACTTGGGTGTGCATGTATCACTGTGATATGATGCTTTTAATTCTTTCAGAAAGATACCAAGAAGGGGGATAGCTGGGTCGAATGGAATCTCTCGTCCTCATTTTTTCAGGAATCTTCACTCTGATTTCCACCGTGGTGGCACCACTCTATATTCCCATCAACAGTGGAGAAGGGTTCTTTTCTCCAACAGCCCTGCCAGCATTTGTTTTTTTGTTTTTTGGTACTAAGGATCGAACTCATGACCTTATGCTTGCTAGGCAGGTGCTTAGGTTGCTGAGCTAAATCCCTGGCCCCCAGCATTTGTTATTGATTTTCTTTCTGGAGTGAGATGGAATCTCAGCATTGTTTTAATTTGCATCTGTTGAATGACCAATGATGTTGAACATTTTTTCATATATTTACTTGCTGTTTCTACTTCATCTGAAACTTTTTTTATTTTAGATGCCCAATTTTGGATTGGGGTCTGATATTTTGAGTTCTTTATATTTTCTAGATTGTAATTTAATTTTTTTAAAATGACTTAAACTACTTGAATACTGCAGGGAAATTTTCATTTTCTGAATGTGCTCAAGAAAACTTTATGGATTTCACCTCATTTACATTTATTATGATAATCAGTGTTTTTCCTTTTTTTAGATTCTTAGCTGCAGAAAACTATCTGATTCAAAAGAAAGGATTTTATTGATAGTAAAGTCATAAAATAATTGAGTTACAGAAATGAACAGCATACTCTAGGCTGAGCTTGTAGGAATGACTTCTGAAACACACTGGAGAACTGGAAGGGCTAAGGAGCTTTCTCTAGTCTACTCTGTGCCAACAAAATCGATGCCTGCTGCCTGTTTTTGTTTTTTTCTTTAAGGCAGGATCTCACTGCAGTTCAGGTTGCCTGTCAGTTCACTATATACTCCAGGCTGACCTCGAACTCCCAGCAATCCTCTTGCCTCAGCCTCCCAAGTGCTGGGATTACAAGCATGCACTAGCATGCCTGGCCCTGTTGCCCTCTAAGAAATTTTTTTTATTGGTACATGTTTGTGTAGTATAAAATGATCACATAGCTTGTGGGAAGTTGGGACATATATATAATGTGCTTTAATTATTTTTTAATTTAAAAAATGCAAAGTATGTTATACTATAAGTCATAAAATATTCATCCATATACATTTTAATGAATAAGTGTAAAGTAAACACTGTCCAGTTAGGAAAAGGAACATTGTCTATACTTCAGAATTACCTATATGCCCTTCCTGCTTTTATAAATCCAATAAACACTAGCCCAACTTTTATGATGATGGTTCTATAGTGATTTGCTTATTTTTCTGAGTAATTTAATCGGTAGTTTAATTGTGTCTTTTTTGGGGAGGGGAAGGGTACCAGAAATTGAACTCGGGACTTTTCACTTGGTATACCACTGAGCTAAGTCTTTGGCCCTATATCTTGTTTTTGAAGAAACTCTTACTGTATATATTCCTTTATTTCATAGTTTTTTGTTGTTATTTTGTTTTTGAGACAGGGTCTCACTGTAGTTCAGGCTGGTCTTGAAATCATTTGTAGCCCGGGCTGGCCTCTAAGTCTCAGCAATCCTCCTGCCTCAGCCTTCCAAGTGCTGAGATTATAGGCATGGTGCTACCATGCCTAGCTGTTTCGTAGTTCTTATGAGATTCTTACACATTACATATAGTATATATCCATTTTCCATGTTGAAGGATATTTGAGTGGGTGCTCATTTTTAGCCTCATGAACATTCTTATATCTTTTTAAATATGTACATTAATATATGGTGTATATCTAAAGGATAGTCTGAGACTATGCACCTTTCTTTTTTCTGAATCAAATGGTGCCACCACACCTGGACACCATTTGTCTTTTGAGAGTAGCTGTCTTAACAGGAGTGAGGTATTGACTTATTGTAGATTCGCCTTATTGTAGATTCGCCTTTCTTTTTTTTTTTTTTTTTTAATCGGTATGGGGATCAGACTTGAGACCATGCGCTTGCAAGGCAGGTGCTTATGCTACTGAGCTAAATCCCCAGCCCATCTTCACCTTTCTTAAGTTAATACCTGAATGTTTCTGAAATATTACCAGTTTATATTCTCACAGTGGCTGGTGATAATATACATTGTTTCATATTAACCACAATTGGTATTGTCATACTGTAATTTGTACAATCTGATAATCATGTATTAAGTTGTGGCTTTTAATTAGTATTTTCCCAGTAATTAAAGATATCAAATGCCTTTGCATGTTTTTTATTTGAAGACATTTTTTGTTTTTGTTTTTTGGAGAATAAGTCTTTTTGGCCTTTTGTCTTCAGCCTTACCCTCCCTTTTTTTTGGGATAGAGTCTTGTTGTGTAACTCAGGCGAGTCTTTACCACTTTCTGTAGCCCAGCTTGGCCTTGAATTTGTGATCTTCCTCTGTTAGCCACCTCAGTGCTGGGATTACAGGTGTGAGCCACCACACCTGGGCACCATTTGTCTTTGAGAGTAGCTATCTTAACAGGAGCGAGGTATTGACTCATTGTAGATTTGATTCAGATTTCCCTTGTTAGTGATGCTGACCATCATTCATTTACTTATTGGTCATTTGTATGTCTTTGGCAAAAATGTCTTTTGAGATCCTTTGGTGTTTTGTTTTGTTTTTGTTTTTGTTTTTGTTTTGTACCAAGGATCAAAACTCACAACCTTGTGCTTGTCAGGCAGGCACTTATGCTGCTGAGCCAAATCCCTGGTGGCATTTTGGTTTTTTGAAACAGAGTCTTGGTGTGTTGTTTAGGCTGGCCTCGAATTCAGTCTGTGATCTTGGCTGGCCTTGAAAATGTTGTACTGAAGTTTGAACCCAGAATCTTTGCACTGAACTTCATGCTTCTTCCGTAATTGTTTCTTAACTTCTCTGGCTCAGTCTGTGTTTATGTGTTCGAAGGGATAAAACCCAGGCCCTTCACTGAAATAAGATACCCCTAGCCACTTTTTTTGATTCTCATTTTGGGACAGATTTTTGCTAAGTTGCCCATGCGAGGCTCAGACTTGTTACCCTCTTCCTCAGTTTCCTGGAATGCTAGGATTACAGGTGTGTACCACCATACCAGGCAGAAGCTTTTTTTTCTCTTTGAAATTAAAGGAATTTGAAAAAAAAGTTTGTAGTATTGATTCATTCAATACTGTTCATGCTGGAGGGGTGAGCAGCAGAGAAAGTACTTCTCCAAGTTTTGGTGTAGACACTGGAATAGAGCAACGTGAGGAATAGAAGGAAGAGAGAAGTGGGTCCCATGGACACAGGAAGGATCAGAACTTGACTTAAAGCCCCTGAAGAAAGATAATTCAGGAGTCCAGCAAAAAATACGAAAACCAGGGGTGGCAGCCCTCCAAGACAAAGAGAAGCAGGAAGCCATGTGGCCCCTCCCCACCTTGTGGGGCAGAGGCCCTGCTGGCAGGCTGGGAAGAAGCAGCAGGGAAGCTGTCCAGCCTCCCTGTGTGCTGGTGGAGGGAGCACTGGGAGAAGCAACAAGGAAGCTGCCTCTGCCTGATCCCTCCCCTGCTTAGCCGACTGAGCATGGCACAGGCTGAGATGATAATAACTGAAGTAAGGAACCAACCTGACATTTATGTTGTTTGACTTTGCCAGCCAGAGGCCAGTAGTTTGAGCAACTATTTAGAGGATAACAATATGCAATATAGTAACAATTCTGGATTTCCTACTGTCTGATCCAAACAAAACAACAACAAAAGAACCTACAAAGTATTGATCCCTCATCTGCAAAGTGAAGATAATGGGAATAATTTTTGTTTCATAGGTTTGTTACAAATATTGAGATAATACATATAAAGCTCTTAGTATAGAACATCATACATAGAGCTCAGTAAATGTTATTTTTAGATTTTGTCTATTCAAAAATAGTTATTTCAAAAACAAGTACATTTTTGGAAAATCTTCAGAGATTAATAAACATGCTAAATGGTTGACTACATAGTATCAAAACTTATCTAACTAAATCAGGAATGTAGTTAAGTGGCAGAGCCCTGTGTCCATTTCGTACTATAAAAAGTCTAAAACAAAACTGATGTCTTTAAATGTAGTTAAGACTAAGAGCTACGTGGAAATAATGTGTCTTGTAATATATTTCTCTTTGACTGATTTGGCAGTTTTATTATAGTTGAATTGTTTATAAAATTTATTAATGTATTAATAGATCAACAGCTGGGTGTGGTGGCACAGGAGGCTGAGGCAGAAGGATTGCTGTGAATTTCGGGCCAGTGTGGGCTACATAGTGAGTTCAAGGTCAGCCTTGGACTACATAGCAAGACCCTGTCTCCAATAAATAAATAAATAAATAAATAAAATAAAAAATGTAATAGATAAGCACAAATCCCTGTTTTCCAAAATATATTTAAAATATTTTAATATGCTAATTCAGGCTAATTGCTATTTGTATCCTGATAATGTATTAATGTTTATACCTAGAAGAATAAAATATTTTGTTTCTCTTTGCAGCAGAATGGCCAAAGACAATGACAGGTCTGCCCAGCACATCAGGGACAACTGCCAGTGTGGTCATCATACGGGGCATGAAGATGTATGTAGCTCATGTAGGTGATTCAGGGGTGGTCCTTGGAATTCAGGATGACCCGAAGGATGATTTTGTCAGAGCTGTGGAGGTGACACAGGACCATAAGCCAGAACTTCCCAAGGAAAGAGAACGAATTGAAGGACTTGGTGGGAGGTAATGATTTGCTTGTCTTTCTCTTCTGGTTCAGTTTAATTGCTTCTCCCTTTTAATATAGTTGATTTTTTTGTAAAATGGGTTTTCAGTTTGCCTGATGCAAAACCCCAATGCACTCATTTATCTCATTTTAAATTGATTTTTATTTTATTTTATATTTTTGATAATACTTCCAAAAGGAAAGTAATATATCAAGTCAGCTAACAGTACATACAAGATTTTTTTTTTTTTTCCTGTATTGGGGAGTGAATCCAGGGTCTTTCCAGTAAACCATATCCTTAGCCCTTTATTCTTTTCATTTTTAAAAATTTTGAGGTAGGGTGTTGCTAAATTGTTAAGTTGCCCACACTGGGCTAGAATTTGTAATCTTGCCTCAGCTTCCAGAGTGCTAGAATTACAGGCATGTATCACCAGGTGCAAGCTCATACAGAATTTAATTGAAAACCATTCCTAAAATTGGAGCATATTGGAAGGTGAAGGCAAAGGGATTAAAATTTTGATGCCAGCATGGGCAATTTAGTAATCCAGTCTCAAAACACAGTTTTAAAAAGTGCCAGATGTGGTGGCATACAGCTGTAATCCTAACACTTGGGAGACTGAGGCCGGAGGATGGTCGTGAGTTCAAGGCCAGCCTGTACTACATAGCATGACCCTGTCTCCTTTAAAATTTCTTTTTAAAAATTGCTGGGGATGTAGCTCACTGGTAAGGCACTTACCTATCATGCTGTGAAAGTCTATGTTCAATCTCCAGCACTGCCCATTTCCCTCTCCCCCCAAAAAATTATGCATGGATTTTAAAAAAATAATTGAACCAGTGGCTTGTGTTTATTTGTAGCATTGGGGCTTTCTTTGTGCTGGGCATGCTCTGCCATTGAGCTACAATTCCAGCCTTTTTAAAATTTTTGAGACAGGTCTTGGTAAGTTATCCAGGTTCTCTTGAATATGTAATCATCCTGCCTTACCTTCCTGAGTGACTGAGCTTACAAATATTTGCCATTGCACATGACCACTTACCATTTTAAAAAGATAGATCCAATATTTTGTAAAATTAAGACACTAATAAAATGTATAAAATTAATAGATCCTTTTAATTTGTGCAGTACTGAGATTGAACCAAGGTTTTAGCACTGAGCTATATCCCCAACCCTCTTTATGTCTTATTTTGAGATAATATCTTGCTGTGTTGCACAGACTGGTCCCATTCTTCCTCCTCCGTGCACAGCCTTCCCCAATATCAGTATCCTGTACTAGAGTTTTACATTTGTAATAATTGATAATGTTATACCCAATTTCCATAGTTCACATTAAGGTTCATTCTGAGTATACTTACAGAAAAATACATTGAGGGCAGGGATTTAGCTCAGTGGCATAAGCACCTACCAGGCAAGCAAAGGTTGTGAGTTCAATCCCCTGTACCAAAAAAAGAAAGAAAAATACATTAAGACATGTCTGCAGCATTATAGTATCCTGCAGAGTAGTTCCATTGTCTAAAAGTCATCTGTGTCTGCCCATTTCATCCTTCCCGGCAAGCATTGATGTTTTTACTATCTCCGTTGTTTGGGCTTTTCTAACATCATGGTTGGAAGCCTTATATTTGATTGTGCAACATACACATTTATCATTTGGAAAATACTGGTTCACCAAGTTATGCAAATCTCTTAAATATGGACACACATTATTATGTCCAATCATTCGGTCTCTTAAAATCTCTGCTGACCTTAATATTGGATGAATAAAAAGTTAAGCTTGAACACCCCTAAAAAGGTCTTGGGGGACCCAATCCCTAAGTGTGTGTGTGTGTCTGTCTGTCTAGGGCCTTAGGCAGACTAGGCAGGCATCATTCCACTGAACTACATGTTATTACAGGTATATGCCACTGTGCCTAGCTTCTAAACCACATTTTGAGAACCACTTTCTAATACTTGCATGGTTTCATCTTATCTCCAGTTCTTTGAAAATCTTAAGTTGTGCAGTAGGCATACAATTTTTTTTTCTTAGACTGCTACAAATAGCTGCTTGAACAGTTATACATCTTTTCCTTCCTGATTAAAATGCTGACTTGACATAACACCTTTAATGGAAAGAAGGTCTTCAGTTTGCCCTGTTCTTGCACTGTTCTTTGAGTCACAGAGACACAGAGAATGTCAGCTCTGTAGTAGGGCATCATTGCTTATTGTAGAATGAACCTTGAATGAACTGTTTCTTTGCAATTAGGGAAGACTTTCATAGTGTATAAATTTCTGTTTGGAAGCAAAGACCTTGATTTCCTTCTGTGCATGAAGTTTGACTTGTATAGGGACCAGGCAGCTACAGCTGTGGACTGATTCCTATGGCATGTGAAAACTTACTTGCTTTTAGACCATGTGGCCTTATTTAGTTACACCTGAGGTGTCATTGGAGGGCTAGTAAATTGCTCCCAGATATCTTAAGGATCGCTTCTGAAGAGAATTCCGTTTTTTTTTTGTTTTTTTTTTTTTTTTTTTTTTTGAGACAAGGGCTTGAACTCAACTGTGTAGCACAGATTGGCCCCAATGAAGACAGTGTTCCTGAAGCAACCATGTTGGCATACTGTACTTCCTATTCTATATCCTGCAGTGTTGAGAGTCTGCTTTCAGGTTGTAGCCTACTTAGTCCTGTGAGTGTGATGGTCTATGTGAGACCTATACTGGGAGCTGTGCAAAATGGCCTTTATAATCATAAATAGAATTCTTGCATATGCTTGGGTCTTTTTCTGTTATTTTTCTTCTGTCATTTACTAGTACAATAATTTTAAAAACTTAAGACTTTCTGTTACGATTTTTTCTCTTTTTGGCAGTGCTAGAAATTGAACCCAGGACTTGGGAGGCATTCCAGGCAAGCTCTGCCACTAAACTACATCCCTAGCGCCATTTATCATACTTTTAAAATATTGATAGGCAGGATCAGCTCTCGTTGATCTTTTTAAAAAAATAACTTTTGGCTATTACTTATTTTTCAACTTAAAATTTAAAGTTATAGTTTCCTTGATTTTAATAGCTCCTTAATAATTAAAGGTTCGTGTCTTTGGCATTATCACTAAAGTACCATCTGGACAGTTGGACAGATGCTCTTTGCCATTTGGAAGCAGGTGTCCTTTTGCAAAAATTGAGCCATTTTATGATAAGTTATTTCCTCACCTCCCTCTGTCTCAACCTAGGCATTTGGCCAGCACTCTGTTGTTGTAGCCTTCTGTTGCTGCTCAGTCAGCTTTCTTCATGTCAGGATGTTCCTTTTTATATGTTTTTTAATCCTACAGGACAACAGCAGGGAGTGCAGGAAAAGCAGCATCTTTTGTAATTAACTTTTTTTTGGTACTGAGTTTTGAAACTAGACGCTTTGAACTGAGCTATATCCCCAGCCCCATGTATGTGTGTATCTATGTGTACATGTGTATATGTATGTGTGTATGTATGCAGAGACAGATCTGACTGGACTGTCCTATAGTGTAACCACTGGCCACACGAGACTCTACATTTAAATAAAAATTAAATGTATAAAATCAATTTCTCATTTGACCTGGCTCCAGCTTCAATATTCCCTAGCCACCTGTATCTAGCCAGTGGCTATTCTGTTGCACATTGCAGAGTTAACATTCCCTTCATTACAGGAAGTCTCATGAGACCTTGCAGCTCAAATCTCTGGATTGGTCCTGTTTTCCCTCCCCTTGCCTCCTCTTGCCTCCCTTCCCCTCTCTCCCCTTCCCCTCTCTCCCCTTCCCTTTGCCCCATTCCCTCCCTTCCCCTTCCCCTTGCCCTTTCCCTTCTCCCCTCTTCCATCCCCTTCTCTCTTTTTTGTGTGCCTCGCTGCTTGGCCAGCTCTTGGCCTCTGGGGTGTGTGTGTGTGTGTGTGTGTGTGTGTGTGTGTGTACCTGTGATGCAGCTCTTGCATGGCCAGCTCTTGGCCTCTGGTGTGTGTGTGTGTGTGTGTGTGTGTGTGTGTGTGTACCTGCGATGCAGCTCTTGGCCTACCATGTCGTCCCCCCCCCCCCATGGAACCCAGGACCTTCACACTGAGCTAAATCTTCAGCCTTTTTTTGTTTTTAGACAGTCTTACCAAGTCATTAAATTGCCCAAACTGGGCTCAAACTTGTCATCCTCCTACTTCAGTCTCCCAGAGTGTTGAGTTATAGGCCTGGGCCATCATAACAAGTCTTTTTTTTTTTTTTTTTTTTTGGTACCAGGGAACTCAGCCACATACTTGCAAGGCAAGCGCTTATGCCGTTGAGCTAAATCCCCAGCCCTGTCATCATAACAGGTTTAATTAGATACTTTAATGGGCTCTGTCTTTGATAGTATTAGGAATCAGCGTCTGTCTTAAGTTTTGTCAACTAGGCCTAATGTAAGGTAGACTAATATTGTTTCTTAGAAATGCTCTTCACTTCTCTTTCTCACATCTTTTCTAGTCTTCCAGGAATGCTACCCTTGTGTTGACATTAGGAAAAGAAAAACAGAAATTGGGACTATATTGACATAGGAATTACTTTTTTTTGTACTGGTCTCATTTCAGTCATGCCAGGAAACCATCTCTCTTATATTTTGAGAGTTTTTTCCCCCAAAGAATTAATCATATTTTCAAGTATTAGGAAACTTGGGGTGTGTACTAATTACAAATTTCTGTTACTCATATTGCAAATTTTTAGGAAGATTTTCTTACTCTAATTCTCAGATATATCTCTGTAGAGCTTATAATGGATATATTTCTTAAAGTCTAGGAAACAATTACAGAAATACTTAAATATGTATATAGATGTTTCTCTTGTGTTATATTTTATTGGTTGTTTAGAACAAAAATACTATTAAGTTTTTACTCCTTCCCCAAAGAAATGTTCAGAAATACTTCTATTTTTTGGAGATAAGGTTTTGGTAAGTTGTGTAGGCTGGGCTCAAACTTGGTGATTCTCCTGCCTCAGCCTCCCAGAGTGCTAGATATGCAAGAATTTGTCACCATGCCTAGCTTTAATTCTTCCTTTTTAATTTCTTTTATTGCTACTTAACACTCCTTGATTTGGGGCTGGGAATACAGCTCAGGGACATAGTACCTGCTTACAAAGTGCAAGGTACAGAGTTTGATTCCCAGTATCAAAAAACAAAAACAAAAAACCTCTTTGATACTCTTTCTTTCCGTAGTTCTTTGAGGCATTTTGCTTTTTCCTTTGACATGATGTCTGCTCAATTTTCTTTACATTGTTTCTATTGAATTTTGTCTTTCTGACCTTGGTTGACTATTTCCAAATTCTCAGCTAAGTTACTGTTTTTTTAGTGGTAGTGGTACTAAGTATGGAACCCAGGGTATTTGTACTGAGCTACATCCCCAGAAACCCCTACTTCTTTTTATTTTTTTATTTTATTTTACTTGTTTATTTTGCCTTTTTGAGATAGGGTGTCACTATGTGGTTCAGGCTGGTCATGGGCTCACTTTGTAGTTGGTCTCAAACTTGAAACGATCCTCCTGCTTCAGCCTTCCAAGTGCTAGGATTACAGGGGTGCACCACCATACCTGGCTCCCTTTTTAAATTTTGAGACAGAGTCCTGTTGAGTTTCTCAGGCTGGGCTTGAATTTAACATCCTCCTGGTTCAGCCTCATAGAGTGCTGGTATTACAGGTATATGCCACTATATTTTGGTTAATCTTACTCTGTTTTATTTTTCCTCTCTGAACAGAACTTTGGCTTGTGTATCCTTGTAGCTAAGTCATTTTATGATGATGTAATCTTATTTTACTAGTTACTGAACACACTGAAATATTTTATTTGTTACGTTTAGTCATTTAGAGTATTTACTTGAACCCTGTTTATTTTTTAGTGTGATGAACAAGTCCGGAGTGAACCGTGTAGTTTGGAAAAGGCCTCGGCTCACTCATAGTGGACCTGTTAGAAGGAGCACAGTTATTGACCAGATTCCTTTCCTGGCAGTAGCCAGAGCACTTGGTAAGTAGGACTTGATTATGATGAAATCATGTTAAGTGTTCTGCAATGTATGATATAAAATAAAAGGGGACAGAGTCCTAAATGATTAATTGGTACACGGTTATGGTAATGATATGATAATACTGTGTCTTATTTTTATTTTTTAAAAACCTAGTTGAGGCCAGGGATATAGCTCAGTGACACAGTGCTTGCCTGGCAAGTGCGAGGTTGAGTTTGATCCCCAGTACCAAAGCCAAACCAATATAAAACAAATTAAAAAAAACTAATTGAGGAGAAAGTTAAAGTATATGTTTCTTTGCTTAATGCTCTTTGGTCCTAAATTAAGTTCAGTGTCTTTCTAGCTTTTACTTATGCAGAGACAGACATCTATGACCAGGATTACTATTACTCTGGAAATTATATTTTTATTTATTTATTTTGGGTTTTTTGAGACAGCATCTTGTATGTAGCTCAGGCTGGCCTCAAACTTGTAGCAGTCCTTCTGCCTCAATCTCCCAAGTTATGGGATTATAGGCCTATGCCACCAAGCTGACTGAAATTACTTTTAAATACCCTGTTTATAATGCAGATTACTTTCAGTTTCATGAGATAAAGCTTTGAAATTGGGAATATAGGCAAGAAATAAGTAGATTTGCCTGGCTGTGGTGGTACATACCTGATCTGGCCTGCAGATCAACAAGTTTAGAACTCCTGGAGGAGAAACGGGGATTAAACAAAAGACATGGGGGAGACAAAAAGAGACGAAGGCAAGTTGATGTTAACCCAATCAAGCCTCTGGTTTATTGAGAAAATAATCACACCTTTTATAGGCTAAGGGCGGGAGCTGGGACAGGAAGAGGTTAAACAGATGAATACAACAGGGTTACCATCACATCCGGATAAGTGACATAAGCAGAAGAGGATTATAGTTAATGTAGGCAGACGCAGTGCCCATAGGAGAGAGAGAGAGAGACATCGAGGCAACAATGCCTGTCACTCGGCTCCCTACACATACCTATAATTCCAGCTATTCCAGAGGCTGAAGCAGGAGGATTGCTAAGAATTTGCAGCCAGCCTGGGCTACATAGTGAGATCTTGAAATAGAAAGCAAGAAGAAAAAAAGAGGAGAGAGGGAGAGGAGAGAGATAGGGAGAGAGGGAGAGAATGAATTGAGAAGTGAAAAACTATTTTAGATGGTGTGATGAAAATGCTACTTTTAGGAAGCATGTTATTTTAGCTGTGATTTGAAGGCTGAGAAGGAGCTAGTCTTGTGAAGAGCATGTGGAAGAATACTCTAGCCATGGAGTCGAGTGGGAGAGCTTAACATGTACTAAGAACTGTCAAAGGGCTGGCTAGAGTTAAGGTGGGTTAGTGCTCATGCCTGTATATTCCCACTATTCTGAAGGCAGAGACAAGAAAATCTTAAGGTCCAAGCCATCTGGCCAGCATGGTGAAACCTCTGCCTCAAAAATCAAAAGCAGCAAAAACAAACATAAAAGGCTCCAGTCAGTAAGATAGATACAGGCCATGCTGTTGTAGATATTGATGTTGTGATCTAATTGTCATGGGTAGCATTATAGGATATTCAGCTAAGGAATGGCAGGTGATTTGCCTTTTAAAAAGAGTATGCTGCGTACCATGTACTCACTCTTGTTTTTTATGGTCAGATGCTCATAGGCCTAATCTAAATGAAGTCTAACTGGCGAGGGGTAACAGATAATTAAAGTTACTCTAAAAGTGCCATAAAGAATTAAAATAGATGGTGTGCCCGTACTTGGTAGAAGGGATAGTTGGGTAGCAGGGAGAACTACTTTATGAAGCTGGGTGGGATAATGCATGCCTATAATCTCAGTACTTTTAGGGCAGAAGAATTGCAAATTTGAGCCAGCCTAAGCAATTAATAAAAGCAGGTGGGTAGTATATTTGTTGGGTTGGGGGAGGGCAGAATATATATTCTGTGTTTCTACTGAATAGCACTGATTTTCTTTTGAGGAATTCCATCTTCTGCACTGTGTGCTGTCCTACTATAAACAAATTTCTAGTCAAAATGTGTTTAGAAAACAAAGAAAGACTAGGCATATGGTGCCATTATGGCAATCGGATCCTCTAAACTAGAATTTTAATCGAGTGAGAACAAAACTTTATTTGAAAATTAAAGGCTGAGAAACCAGGTATGGTAACACATGTGAATATCCCAGCTTGGGAAGCTGATGCAGGAAGATCATGGTGAATTCCGGGCTAGCCTGGCCTACATAGTGAATTCAAGGGCAGCCTGAAATGTATAGCGAGACAAAGCCCTACCTCAAAATCAAGGGGAGTGGTGTTGAGAGTGTGGTGCAGGGGGGAGGCACTTGTGTAGCATCCATGGGGCCTTAGGCTTGAGCTTCACAACTAAAGAACGATAGTTACTTTATCCTAGTGACATTGTGTCCTTTGACACGGCCCTGTTGATATAGTTGGATTTTCTTGGTTGTCTGGAAGTCCCCTGTTTCAATACCTGGTTCTCTAGCCTGCTTATTTCTATGAGCAACTTGATTTTCTTTTAAGTAGCCTTTTTGGCCTAAATTAACATGGTTGGAAATTGTAGCGCAAATCTTAGTAGCAGAACCACAGTGAGAAAAGGTGAAGTTGAAAAGTGAGGGTAGAGAGCCGGGCATGGTGGCTCACACCTGTAATCCCAACACTCAGGAGGCTGAGGCAGCAGGATCGTTGTGAGTTCAGGACGAGCCTGGGCTACAAAGTGAGCTCAAGGCCAGCCTGAACTGCACAGCGAGACCCTGTCTCAAAAAGACCCAAAAAAAAAAAAAAAAAAAAAAAAAAAAGTGTGAGTAGAGATAAAGATACTTACCAGAAGGAGAAGGACTATATAGTTCAAGGTGAGGTATATGGTGAAAACCTAGCTTACTAGGAACTAAATCCTATCAGGTCTGTCTGTCTGTCTGTCTCTCTCTGTCTCTCTTTCTTTTCCTTTTTTTTTTTAATAAGATCTTGCCATGTAAGTCCGGCTGGCCTCAAACTCAAAGATCCTCCTACCTCAGCCTCCCAAGTGCTTAGGTTACAAGCATGTGCCACCAGGCCTGGCAAGGCCTTCTTTGGGCTATGGTAAAACGAAACAAAATGTTTTGGACAGCTGTGCATGGTGGTGCACACCTGTAATTCCACTCTTGAGGCGGGGATAGGAGGATTGCTGCAAGTTAGAGGCCAACCTGGGCTATATAGGAAGTTCAAGTCCAGTTTGAACTACATAACAAGACCCTGTCTCATAAAGAAAAAGAAAAAAGAAAAAAAGAAAAAAAAAAAAGCTTTTGGAGCCAGTTGTGTCTGTGGCACATGCCTATAGCTCCAGCTGCTTGAGAGGCCTAGGTGACAGAATTGCCTGAGTATGCAGACCAGCCTGGGCAACATAGTGAGACTTCTTTTTCACTATGTTGATGAACAAAAGGTTTACGGGAACATTATTCAATTCCCAGTACTGAAGAGTAGAGGGAGAAAAAACACCAATTCTACCCCTGAGGATGGAGCCTTCATGACAATCACCTCTTCCTCTCTTCCTGTCCACCAGTACTAAGGGATTGAACTCAAAGCCTCCACAGTGTGTTACATCCTTAGCCCTTTTTATTCTGTAATATGCTCTAACTAAATTGCTCAGGCAGGACTCAAATTTGTAATCTTCTTGCATCAGCTTTCTTGAGTACTGAGATTACAGACTCCTAATCACCTTTTAAAGGTTCTACTGCTTAATTCTGTCGTAGTGGCAGTTAAATTTCAACATGAGTTTGAAGATGAAGAGGACAAGCATTCTAACCATAGCACGTATCTGTCTCATAGAGTTTTGATTATTGGATTACTTGATACATGCAAAGTGTTTAAAATTATGCCTGGCACATAGTGAGTGCCGTGTAAATGTTAGCTGTTACTGTTACTGATACTTATTGATTGATGTAGGGCAGTGACATGATCCAGTTTGTTTTGAAGGCTCATCTTATCTGCTATATAGCCAAAGAGTATAGAGAAATAAAATTGAAGGCAAAGCTGGGCATTCTCCCTCTCCCAGTACTCTGGGAGGCTGAGGGATGAGAATCACAAATATGAGCCTAGGGTGGGCATCTTAGCAGAACCCTGGTGTCATAGTTTACTCTTGTTGCTGGGACTAAATGCCCAGTACCCAGAGTTAAAGGAGTAAAGGTTTATTTAGTTTGTTGAGGTTTCAGTCCAAAATCAGCTGACTCCAATGCAGGATGGCATGGCTGAGAGACAATGCCTATTTATGGTGGTGGAAGACAGAAAAGCAACAAGAGGAAAAAAGAGGGAAAACTTTGCCTCTTTTCCTCTCTTATATTGTATGCAGGTTACTTGGTGGCACTGGCACCATCTCCTGCCTCTCTGCTTGTGCAAGACTCAGGATGTTTACAAAGTGAGGAGTCCCCTAATTAAGCTTTTGCAGGGGGTGGGCCTTACGGATCACTAGTGCTTGCCAGCCAGGTGCTTTAGTTAAGCTTTTAAACTTCTCAAGTTGACACAATGTATCAACCATTACACCTGTTTGGAAACAAAAGAAAAAAAACTCCTAATAGAATTAAGGATATTGTTCAGTATTAAGGCCCTGATTTCAATCTTAGTGCCATACATGTGCAGTGTGCCGAGGTAGTGATATCATTTAGAAGCTTGTTGTAAGATTCTAGGCATTTGACTTATTTTATAGATTTGTTATTGTGGAACTAGAAAGTTGTGTAAGTTACCCAAATTATTTATAATATAGCATGTAACACAGTTGATCTACTTGTTAGCAATAAAAAAAAGATGGAAAGGTTAATAGTAAGCTGTTGCTGCAGCAGCTTACATTTCAGGTAGTGGATAAATTTCAGATTGACTACAGCTGAGTGTTTATGACATTATAAACGTTTATAACACTGGTGAGCATAGAAAGGGGTCATGAGAGGGAAGGAATTGATTTTTTTTTTTTTGTGTGTGTGTGTGTGTGTGTCTATTTTTCTTTTTTATTGGTACCGGGGATCAAACCT